CATCCAGAAAGTTAGTATGCCCCTCACACTCCCCCACAAGTGCCTCTCTCCCTAATTCTCCCAGGTCACAAAGATGAGTTCTCAAGAGAGGCACCATGGGGTGCAAAAATCCATGGTTTCTATGTCACCCAGACCTGAGTTTGGATCTCATTATGCCAATTCCAGGCTGTGGGCCTTAGGGTCCCTTTGAGTCGAGGTCCTCTCATCTATAAAGGGGAGGGGCTTTGGGACAGTGGCTCTGAAAATACTGTACCCAGGAGGCACTCCAAGTTCTATCTCAGTATTGTTGTCCATTCTGGGTGCAAAGATGACCAAGTACATGGTGATTTCCAACTGCACGGCTACACTTAGCCCTGGATAGATTCCCCAGGCCAGGGACCCCTGTCCTTCTCTAGCAAAGCCCCAGTTTTGATTCCCATAGTTGCTCTGGACCAAGAAGATTCTTATCCAATACTCCCCTCAGATGGGGACCCCATGAAAGGAGGGGTCCCTTAAATCTATGTCAAACATCTTCCTGTCCAGGGTTTGTGGACAAACACAAGGGGCTGGATCCTTGGAACTGGCTCCAGCCCTGGCTCCTGGCCTAAGTAAGCAACCCAAGCCAGTCACAGACTTCTGTAGGCCTCAGTTTTCTCCTCTGTAAAATGGGAGATGATCTGAGGTGGCTTACAGCACTAAAGTGAAGTTGGAGAGGGCTTGCTGAGTTGTGAAGGCCTGAATCAAATGAGAACACCCCTGCCCAGCCCCCAGCCCTTTGACCCTTTCATCTGTACCTCCAACCAGCTGAAAGGCACTGCTGAGAACATCCAAGGAGCACACGAACAGGTAGAGGAATCCCAGGAGCAGAATGAACTTCCCGATCCCTTGGAAGATGCATAGAATCTTCCCTTCTGTGTCTCTCTCTGGGGGAGTGGAAGAGGCACAAAGGCTTTTAGTGTATGAAGTCCTGAGGGGTTTGGCAATGAGCCAGGGGCCTGGGAGCTCTTATGGACAGCAAGACCCAGCGATGGTAGGCAGCCCTGGCTGCAGTTTCAAAGCAATTAACCACGAGAGCCCACTTAGTAGAAACCGCGGTGAAGAGTTTCTACAGGATTTGCTTTGGGGAGGAGAGGTTCACCGTAGTCTGGGACAAGCAAACCAGGCTCCATGCTCAGCTGAACCAGTGTCACTGAGCTAGGTGGTGAGGAGCACTTGCCACCCATTAAGTGCTGGGTCAGAGATAATGGCTCCTGAGCACCTTCTGAACAGCACAGACTATTTTCTAGAATGTGGCTGCAAGGTAGCAATCACCGTCTCCATTTGGGGAGGGATTGGGCAATGCTACGTCCTTGATGGCTATTTTCTCCACTCCAAGTGGTTCTCAACTTTCCGTCCCAGCTCCCTCCCCTTCCCAGTCTTGTGATCCACAGAAAGACCTTATGCCCTGCCCCAGGGAGACTGCAGCATTTGCTTGCCCAGCTAGTCTGGCTGTATGGTCTCTGTCTTTCAAAAGCCTTCTCTGAGGCAACCCTTCCCCCCACCCAGCTCTCAGAAGAGGGGCCTTAACTGCTCACTGCTGCAGCCACCGCACCTGGACAGTACCTGGGACCTGGTCAACGGGTTATTAAGGAGCACTGTGCCTGGCCTGGTTATAACCCCAGCAACGGCACTTTGGCTGAATGAATGAAAGTATAAACAATTCCCCAGTCTCCACACCGTGCTTTGACTCTAAGCGTCCTAGACTGTGGGGTGACAACCGTCGCCAGGACCTTTGTTGGAAGGGCCTCAGGACAACAGAAAGGGAGGTGGTACTCAATCCCTTGATGATCTCATTTTTACCTGACCACTTGATCCCCTTGTGCTTAAGCTCGGGCAAGTCCCAGGGGTCTTCCAAGTCTGTGGGCTNTGGGTGAAAACCGTCGCCAGGACCTTTGTTGGAAGGGCCTCAGAAAGGGAGGTGGTACTCAATCCCTTGATGATCTCATTTTTACCTGACCACTTGATCCCCTTGTGCTTAAGCTCGGGCAAGTCCCAGGGGTCTTCCAAGTCTGTGGGCTCCTCTATCAGTGCCACGGTGGAGTGGGATGGCAGGAGTTCAATCTTGGTTATGGAGGTCCCGGTGTCATCTGGCCAAACAAACAACAAAGACCAGGAGAAATGAGGAATCAGTCCTGTGTCTCCCGGGTCCCCATAGGAGGCTCATTGAGGCTGGGTGAGCGGCACTTACTTTTGTCAGACTCCTTGCCTTTCCCATCCGTGGTGGGATGTTGGCTTGTGATCCCTTCGATGTATCTACCTGGGTTAGGCTGCGCATTTTCTACCTCAGGCCAAGGAGCCATGGTCTGTGGATGGGAAAACAGAGCTCAAAGCAGCAGCCACTGAAAGGAGGTGGGTTTGGCTGTCATGAGAGGGAGAACCAGCAGATGCAAGATTTGGGGGAGTGGACAAGTGTTGCGCTTATACCTCCTACGTGCGGGCTCTTAAGCACTGTATTGCACTCCTCTGTAGGCCTCCTTCAACCACTCACCCAGGCTATCACTAAATCAACCGCTTCTCACTGTGTTCTTCCATGCTAGCCACAAATCTCTATTTCAGTTGAACCGCCTTTGATTTCCCTAACTTCTGTCACGACTGTCCCCATCAGTCAAGATGATGCAAATTCACTGACTCACGGCATGCCAAGTCCTCACAATCCTCCAAGGGGCTCGCAGTGAACCTAAGATATGCTCATGTACATTCTATCTGCTTTACCAGCCATCATGTCTCCTGCGATAAGCATGCGACCTTGGACCTGGCTCAAATCCCAGAGGTGCCCCTTGTCAGTGGCTGTGCACTTACTGAAACCCCTTCATGTCTCTGAACATAAAGTGTTGGCTTTCCCATGTGTACAAAGAGGATAACTCTTCATATTTTGCAGAGTTTTGAGATTAATGGTGATGCCTAGGCAAGTGCCTGGCACCAAGCAAGCATCCAGTAAATAGTAGTGAGCACTACTGTGCCAGGCTTCCTGGATTAAGGGACCTTTTCCAGAACCCTGTTCTTTCCAGGCTTTGGCAGACTTCCTCATAACCCCCTTTCTTGACGAAGCCTATCTGTTACATGGAGTGGAAGTGTGGCTCTTGACACAGCTGGGAGTCCACCCCGTGTGGTCCTTGTCCTTTGACACACAATGCGGTTGAAAGACTGGAACAAACAAGTGGCTACAAATAAGAGTTCAGCCTCGTTAGTAACCCAAGATGTGCAAATTAAAACAGGTTGTTGTTTTTTAAATCAAATTAGCAAACACTTTTTGTATAACACGCCATGCTGGAGAAGCTGCAGTGAGGTGAGCCCTGTAGGAAATTCTGGAAAACAGTTGGCAAAACGTCTAAAGAGGCTTACATTTTCCATAAATCTCTGATCCAGTCATTTCACTACTAGGAACTAGGAATCGAGGACTATTTTCTCTGAGATAGTTAAAACGTCCTGCCTTCCACTGATCATCTCTTTGCAGAGGGTTTCCCAGAACCTGGGTCTTTCCTATTTCTTAACTGGATTGATTTCCTGCCTATCTGAACACAAGCTTTGTCCAGCTCATCACTGCATGCTTGGAGTCTGCAGCTCTGCCTGGCACACGCAATGGTTGGTAAGTGATTGCTGACTGAATAAACGTGATGCAGACCACAATGACCTCTGCTGCACTGTTAGATAGATGAATGGAAAAATAGAGAGATTAACTATGGTACATCCATGCAGTGTAGTAGCTTGCCATTAAAGTGGTTATAAAGAATCAGCAAAAAACCCCCAAAAACAATGAAAAACACAACAGGAAAACTGTGAATAAAAGGCACTTTTTTTGTCCCATTCATAGCATTTCAATAAGGACCCATAAATGTTCCATGGGGTTCAGAGTGGACAGTGGGATTGGGTGATTGTTATTTTCTTCTATCTGAAATTTCTAAATTATAAGAGATACAGCCCAAGCCCCAAATCCACAAAGGTAAGATGGTCCAGGGATACCTGTCCTGTGACTGCCACTCAGATTGATAAAGCTAGCAGCTACAAGAAGCTGACTCTGGGAGCCCCATCCAGAGGGGTTTCCCGTGCAACTGCAAAGCATGGCAAGTGCTTTGGTGATCA